TTCCTTTATTCCCGTGTGACACCCGGATCCCGTCCCTTTATTCCTGTGGCCAAGGAGAGCTGTTGCTGTGTAATTTTTGGATCCTGGCAGGGATCAGCTGCTCCAGGGCTGTCTCAGGTCCCTGCAGGTGCCCTGACCTGGCTTTGCTCCATCCTGCAGGGCTGCAAACCATCAGCACTCAGGGACGCTGCAGCTTTTTAAGGCAGGAATGCTTCGCTGGTTTGGGTTGGAAGGGATTTAAAGCTCATTTTGTTCACTCCAGCTCCCACTGTCCCAGGCTGCTGCCATCCCCCGTGTCCAGCCTGGCCCTGGGCACCCCGAGCTGTGACTCCCGTTGGGTAAAATCACTCTGCTGTGTCTCAGGGTTGTTGAATTTCCCTGTGGGGATGGATCAGGAGAGAACCTCCGGTGAACTCCAGGAGTCTGAGGGGGTTTCAGCTTCCCCTGGGGGTGTGTGAAGCTCTGGCTGCTGTGCAGATGTTGGATTTCAGGGGTTCTGTGCCCAGCCTGCAGTAATCCCTTTCTGTGATTGTTTTATTTCAGCCAAGCCCTTTGAGAGCGGGCAGTACCTGGACATCTACGGCATCACCAGAGACCAGGCTGGGGAGTACGAGTGCAGTGCAGAGAACGATGTCTCAGTGCCAGACGTGAGAAAAGTAAAAGTGACAGTGAACTGTAAGTGCCGTTCTTTGTTATCCCTCAATGTGCCGGAGCAGCAGAGGAGGAGCAGGGGCTGCAGCAGCAAACTGGAGCTGCTGGCTCTGTCCCAGGGAAGGGACACGCTTCCCTGTGCTCTGTGGTGGCCACCTGGGGGTCACCGAGGAGCTCGAGGTGCAAACTCTCGTTTCTGGGTGATGATCTGAGCAGTGTGTGGCTGCTGTGGATGTTGGGCTGAGCCCTGCCGGGTTTATCTGGTGCTGGTGGTGAAATGAGATGAGAAACTCTGCTGTGGTGGCTGGATGGGGACTGATCTCCAGGGCAGTGCGAGCTCTCCTCACAGGAGGAGCAGGAGGGGTTCGTGCAGTGCCACTGCAGCACGGGGACCCTGCTGGGTGACACCAGCAGCCCTGGCTTGGCTCTGAATCCGATTTAGCACTCGGTGTGATGTGAAATATCCTCCCTCCAACACGTGAGGAAACACGGGCAAGACAATGTGAATAATCTCTTGCTCATTCTAACAATTTTCTCTGGTTAACTTCAATTACCCAGTGTGTAATTTGTGTCTGGCTCTGGGGTCAGTGTGGCGGATTTATTGGTCACAAATATGAGATGTCAGTGTTGTGTCTCGCCCAGAGACCTTGTCCCAGCCGCTGTGGGCAGCAAAGCCCCTCATCCCCCATCACTGTGGGGCCACTGCTGTCACCTGGGGGCATTCACAGGCCCAGCCTGTTCTCGTTCATGTGGCACCAGGGCTCCTTGGGCACGTGGGGACAGAGCAGTGACACTTCTGGAAAAGCTGGATTGTGCTCCAGGGCACGTGGGGACAGTGCAGTGACACTTCTGGAAAAGCTGGATTGTGCTCCAGGGCACGTGGGGACAGTGCAGTGACACTTCTGGAAAAGCTGGATTGTGCTCCAGGGCACGTGGGGACAGAGCAGTGACACTTCTGGAGGGGCTGGATCCTCTCTGGGTGCCAGGGCAGTGCCCTGTGCTGCTCTTTGTCCCAGTGCAGCCACCTGGGCCCAGCTGGGAGTGTCCTCATGGATGTGCTGATATCGTGTCACATTCAGGCAAACTTCTATCTGCTCTGGCAATATGCAGAGTAATTAATTTTATTTTTTTAATAACTTCTCAGAGCTCCAGCCTCTCGTGGCTGCAGTGTGGCTGCAGCTGTGGCAGTGTGTGCACGTGGCTGGTTTGTCACAGTCAGCTCATTGCTCACACTGGGCTGGGGACGTGTCCCCACCAGCTGAGCTCGGAGCAGGAGCTCTGGAAACATCTGCCTGCAAGGAATTTACAGTAATTGATCTTCAAGTTTAAATCTGCAAAGTCCTTAATGAAAGAAAATGAGAGGAAGCCCTCAGCTCCTCTGGCTGGGCAGTTTCCTTTGTCAGATGCTCTTCAATATTCTTTAAAGCCATCTGTCCATTTCCTGAGCAAACTGCTGAGAGCCAGGACTTGTCCCCAGCAATTCCATCTCTCACCCTCTCATGGTGCTGTGCCATGGGGCAGGGCTGGGGGAGGCTGCACTGGCTGTCCCACCCAAACCACCCTGGGACTTCTGCTCCTCTGCTGCTGCTCTCACCCGGCCCTGGTGGCATTCCATGAT